TTCCTTAACCCCCATTTCTTTCCTCCTCCTCTTCATCTTCCTCCTCCTCTTCCTTCTCCTTTCTTCCTCCTCCTCTTCCTCTTCCTCCTTTTTAAAAAGAAAGACTATATAGTCCTGGCTGGCCTGGAACTTGCCATATAGATCAGGTTGGCCTCTTGCAGCAATCCCCCACCTTAGTCTCCCAAATTCTGCGATTACAGGTATGGGCCAGCACATCTAACTGAAAGTAGATTTATTTATTATTTATTTATTTATTTATTTATTTATTTATTTATTTATTGCCTGTGTATGTGCATATATTATCTGTGTGAGCTTGTGCCATGGTGCACAAATGGAGGACAACTTCTGGGAGCCAGTTTTCTTCTTCCACCATGTGGGTACTGGGGGTTGAACTTAGGATGTCAGGCTTAGCAATAAGTGCCTTTACCTGTGGGCCATCTCGCTCTACCTGCCTGTGTTTTTTTAAATCACAGTAATGGCTGGTGTCAGTAGTCTATGCTTCTAAACCTAACTGCTCAGGAAGATCACTCATTTTAAGCTAGCTTGGGTTACATAGTTCCAGGACAGCAGGGGTCTTCAGAGTAAGACCTGGTCTCAAACAGAAAAGAAAGTCACAGGGAGAGCTCAGGTGGAACTGTCATGTGCTCTGAGGCCTGTATTAAGGGCTTGCTGCCTCCCAAAGGAGCAGGGCAGACTCTGGTACACAGACTGCTCCCTCCTGACCAGTCCTTTCCATCCCTCACTTTATCTGCCTTGCATTTCAAACTTCACCAGGGAAGCCAGGCATGGTAGTGCATGCCTATAATCCCAGCACTTGGGAGACTGAGGCAGGAGGATCATGGCTGGTTTGAGGTTAGCCTGGGTTATATAAATAAGTTCTAGGACAGCCTGGGGCTACAGAGTGAGATGTGTATTGAAAAAAAAAAAAAAGTAAAATGAAAGAGAACTTCACTAGGGCTGCAATGCCACCCTGAGATCCCAGCATCTACTGTCATGATACATGGCATTCGATCTTAAGCCCTGAAGTGATCAACTTCTTCTGAAGTATAAATGTCTAATGAGGAAAAAGAAGAAAAAGGGTGTTTGTTCCAAAGGCTGAAAGTTAAATTCTATTTCTCCAAAAACATTTTTCTTCTGAAGCACACTAAACTCTATCAGAAACAGTTTCTGAAAAGTTAGGATCATAAAGAATGACACTGACATTAGGCTTGTTGCCTCTCAGCCAGGTACCAAGCTTTTTCATATGCTTGATTGATGCATTTTTTTTTTTTTTTGAGACAAGGTCTCCCTGTAGTGGGGCTGGCCTAGAACTCACTATGTAGACTAAGCTGGCCTTGAACTCACAGAGATCTGCCTGCCTCTCTGCCTCTGAAGTGCTGGGATCAAAGGTGTGCACCACCACATCTAGCTGAAAAATGAGTTTCTTTAAAGGGAAATGCTAAAGGAGGAGGAAGAGGAGGAGGAAGAGGAAGAAGAGGAAGAGGAACAGGGGAAAATAAATAAATGTAGCAGGGTGTGGTGGCTTGTGCCTGTGGTTTGATACTCCAGAGGCTGAGGCATTGGGAGGATTGGGCTACGTAGCAAGTTCCAGGCCAGTCTGGGCTACAGAATATAGAGTGAGATGTGAGACCCTGTTGAGGAGAGGGAGGGAGAGAGAGAGAGAGAGAGAGAGAGAGAGAGAGAGAGAGAGAGAGAGAGAAACAAACCACCCTATAGAGAACGCTCGGATGAGAAGGAGGAGGAGGAGGAGGAGGAGAAGGAGAAGGAGAAGAAGAAGAAGAAGAAGAAGAAGAAGAAGAAGAAGAAGAAGAAGAAGAAGAAGAAGAAAAAAGGCAGGCAGGCCTCAGAAAGCATGGCGTAACTAATGACAAAGGTCTTCCAGAAGTACAGTCTGTCTTCCCTCCTCAAGTATCCTTGATTGGTTCTTAACTTTTCTACACCTGGGATCCCTTCTCTGTAAAAGGAGGATTCTTTAGTACTCACCTTGTAAGACTGGACTGAGAATGTCTGTAAAGCACTTAGTACAGAATATGCACATAATAAGAGCCAAACAATTACAGCTGATAATAATGGCGATGACAGTGAAATTAGTGAGAATAGGCTGTGTGCTAAGCACCAAGAAGCTAGTTTCTGTTTAGTCAAAGATCATAAGTGGTCTCTACCAGCTAGAGATGTGTGTCAGATTTTAAGTAGACACTGCAAAGCACCATGGCCAACAGTATCTGGAAGAAGGCCCAGGGTGCAGGTTCCTGCAAGCACACCTGCTTTAGGGACCTAGCAAGTCTGAGCTTGAGATACTCTAACAACTTTTTTGTTTTGTTTTTGAGACAGACTCTAACTATTGGCCCAGTCTCAGCTAGAACTCCTGGGCTTAAATGATCCTCTTGCCTCAGCCTTCCAAGTAACTGGGATTATAGGTGTGCACCACTATTCCTGGCTTTTCTAAGGATTTTAATATATGTGCTGCTGAAGGGAGCACTTCTAAGGAAAAATTATTCTAGGGCTGGGTGCATAGCTCGATGGTAGATCAATTGCCTAACATGCATTAAATGCTGGGCAAGATCTTCAGTACTACAAAATAAATAAAAGCCAGCCATGGTAGCTCACACATGTAATTCCAGCACTCAGAAGACTGAAGCAGAAGGACTGCTAAAAGTTCAAAGCCAGCCTTGGGTATAGAGTGAGATCATGTTTCAAAAACCAAAGCAAGGCTGGAGAGATGGCTCAGTGGTTAAGAGCACTGGTTGAACCCAGGTTCAATTCCTAGCACCCACATGGTGACTAACAACCATTAGTAACTCCAGGGGCATCCAATGCCCTCTTCTGACCTCCTTGGGCATTGCCCGACATGGGTATACTTATACACATGCAGGCAATACACTCATACACATAAAATAAAAATAAATAAAACATTAAACCCAAAACAAAATAAAACAAGAACAAAACTAAAGGAACCCCCAAAACCAAACAAACCACCCTCTAAAACCCAAAGGTGAAAGTTACTCTAATTGTTTACTATTAGGTACAAATGAGTGACTGTGTATTCCAGACTCCCCAAGGCATTCCAGGTTTATAATCAGTGGACTATTTCAAAACCCAACATGGATTAATATCTTTTTATTTTTATTTTTAGACATGGTTTTATATAGTTTAGCCTGGTCTTGAATTTGCTGTACAGCTGAGAATTATCTTGAACTCCTGATCCTCCTGCATCCACCTCCCAAGTGCTGGGATTACAGGCATGTGCCACCATTCCTGGCTTTGTTTATGCAAATACCAGGGCCATGGACAAGTGGACATGTTTCTAAACAATACCATGGAGGGGGATGGCTTAATCTGGGATCAAGGGTTTGGTTTAAATTTTTACACATAAAACCAAATGGAGGAATGAGAGCAAACCCTAACAATTTGTAAGAGCAGTTTTCTATCATAACAGATATAAGAAGACAACTTTTAAATTTAAGGAAGACTTCAGGTGACTGATTCAAACGATGTCTTTGGACCCCACTAAGTTCCAACATTGGGTTTACTTAGAGAAACACAAGCTCTGTGAATTCACCTTGTGAATCTTTTTCAAAGTTAAAATAAATGCACTTTTTAATTGGCTTTAAAAAGTAGATGAAGAAATGTTTTAAATTTTACATTAGATTGGATGCCTTTTCAAGAATTCAGAAATATTATTCTACTTCATCTTACCCTAAGCACTCAGCAGCCTGTAAAAGCAGTTGTGTTTATGAATACATAAAAACTGGATTTCTCCCAGTGCAGCACTAACAATGCATCTGTATGCATTTGTAAAGCATCACTTTATTTTTGTTTATCATTTGTGAGACCCTATTTATACAAATTATATCAAAACCATTTTCAACTATCGACTAAAGATTATTTACCGAGATGCTCAGTTTAAAATACTCTGGAATGACACCACACAATATTGCAAAAACATCACGACATACTGTCTGGGATAGAATAAAATAATATATAAATTTCACTAAAGAGTATTTTCCACTGTTCACTGTTGCAAAATCATAACCTCCCAGGATACAAACAACGGGATTGTATAACGTTCCCAAGGCGTTTTTTAGAACTAAGGGGGGAAAAAAAAGAGGTGGGGAAACTCAGCAAAACATAGTGGCGACAAAAGTCGGGGGGGGAGGGGCGCTCGAGAAGGGGCGGAGAAACCCGACACCGAAGCGGTGATATCACCCTCAGCCAACTGCACGGAATTCAGAAAGTTAAGTGTCACCCAGCAATTTCGGTAGGGGCTGCGGCGCGCCCGCACAGCGTGGTGGCGGCGGCGGCTGCACAGCACAGGAAAGCAGGAAGGGGGAGGGGGTGATGTGTATGAGTTCGCTCCGGGGTAGCACTGGACCCGGCCACCCGCCTCGGGGACTCCGAGCGTTCGGGCCCCGGGTGGGGAGCGTCGTGCTTTACCCAGCAAAGATTTCATCTTTTTCGGAGCAGCGGCCGCGGCTGCCACGTGCCTGGTGCGACCCCGTGCGCTGCGCCGGGAGACAGACCTAGCCCGGGCAGTGGTGGCGGCGGGACGCAATGGCCAGCAGAAGGACTGGGCTGGCAGTCGCGGAGGGGGAAGAGGGGTGGTTAAAACCCGGCTGCTCCGCGATCTTCGCGGGCCTCCGGGGACTGCCCCCCAGCGCACTCCCATCCTCCATCCCTGAAGGGCCAAAGCCACGGTGCCCGGCAGCTTCGCAACTCCGACCGAGGATGCTGCTGTGGTCCGGCTGGATGCAGGAGCCGTGCCTTCCCAGGGCCCCGGACCCCGCTGAACCCCATTCCTGGCCTGCGCCCCGCCGCGCCCCGCGCGCTCCCGGCGGCGTGGCCGTGGCAGTCCAGCCCCCGCTTGAGCCGAGCGACCGGCCACCCTCGTCGGGGACAGCGGTGACCCCAGCCCGGCCCGACACGGTCTCAGCCCGCACTCCTTCCGCGCTACGGCCCGGGCGCCTCCCCACCCGTAGGTCCTGGAGGAACGCTTATCGTACCTTCTACGGCTTCCTCCACCATCTCGTCGTCGCTATCCATGGCGGCTGCGACCCTGCCCGGCTCGGGGCGGTGCGGCCGGCTCTCATCCCTCCGGGTGGCTGAGCGAGCGCTGGGGCTGAGCCCTGCGAGTTTGGAGGAGGAGGAGGAGGAGGAGGAGAAGGAGGAGGAAGAGGAGGAGCAGTCGGGGTGGCTCGCGCTGCCTCCCCCTACAGTCCTTTCAATTCTTCGGCCTTCCGCGGCTGCCGCAGCCGCCGTCCCCCCCTCCCTTCGTCCCGGGTCCCCTTGGCCTCCGAGGTTCCGGGGTGCAGCCGCCGCCGCAACTTTCCCCTGCGATACCCCCTCTTTGTTATGAAGCAGCTGATCCGCTGACATCACCCGGCGCCGGTGCGCTCCCTCCCTCGATGATTGGCAGTTCCCTGTCCTTTCCCAGAAGTGAGGATCCTTAACACCAAAGGCGCTTTCGGGCCGCGCCGACTCCCAGCCACTCCGCAGGCGGGTACAGTCCGCGTTTATCCTTCGGCTGGACGCACTCGGAACCAGCCACGCGGTCCTGGCAGCCTGGAGCTTCTCGCCTGCACTGTGGACCCGGGGGTACCGGTTCTGGGGTGCGGGGGATAGCTAGGAACTCCTGACCTCTGGCGATGCCTCGGGTGAAGTGCGGGGGCGGGCAGTGCTCCCCTTCCCCCAGCCTCCAAGGCCCAAGTGAAGCTGGGGAAGCCTTTCTGCTGCTCCCGAGCCTCGACTTCCTCTCGCTTCCCCCCTCCCCCTACTCACCCCGCTTGCCACCACCCTGAGCTGCCAAGTGCCGCAAGTACAGGAGCGCAGGTGCCCCGCCGCCCAGCATCACGTTCGCCAGACAGTTTTCCAGACTCCAGAGGGCATCATCCGCCCCAGATGCTGCCCAACTGCGGGTCCCACTCTGGAGTCCCCAGTCTCTACTCTTTCGCATCTTCATACCCTGGTCTGATCTAGGAATTCATCAAATCCAAAAGGCAGCAGGCTCGTTGTCTGGCAGGAAACTCGCTGCTGTGGAGGCTTGGCAGGTTCCTTCTCATCCTGGCGGTGGAGATGGAGCCACCGAGTGGAGCTAACGAGGAAGGACCTTACGTCCTGTACGCCTCCTTGTCGCTCCTTCCCTCCTGTACGGGTGATGGCCCCAGCTGTCTCCCTTCTTTCTTCAAGTGCCAAATACTTCACAGATTTCATGCGTCTTTGAGGGACGAAAACCCAGGTTCCTGGCGCAGCCACTTAAGACAGTGTCATTATGGCGCCGCCTCTTACAGGTGGCGGTAGAGGACGGCTGTAAATAGCGGGTTAAACGGATACAGATGTACACAATGTACCATGGAATTACCAGGTGCCACTCTGGGCATCGGCCAAGAACAACTACGGCGCCAGGTGGGAGGGGTGCGCAGGGAGCAAAGAAAATTGTTCTATTTGGTTTTCTGAACAATGAGTGAGACTTTGAGGATTTCAAAGTACTTCAACACCTGGGGGAGTCAGCGCCCCCACCGTTGTTTTCTCCCCCTTTCTCCTCCTTCCCTTCTGCTCCCCCCCCCCACTTCTTTGTTTAAATGACAAAATGTTTGTTTTTTGAGGCAAGGTCTGATGTAGCCCAGGCCTGCCTCACTGTGTAATTGAGGATGATCTTGAACTTCTGATTCTCCTGTTTCCATCTCTCTAGCGCTGGGATTACAGGCATGGGCCATCAGGCTGGAGATACAATCCAGATTCCTGCATGTTAGGCAAGCCCTTTACTAACTGAGCCATTAAATGTCAGGTTTAAAAAATCATTATTTCTGTCCAGTATTTCTGACTTGAAAAAAAAAAAAAAAAGAAGAGTTTAAGGGACATTAGCTCCAAATATTGCCAGGAATTTTGGCTCCATTTTGACTCTTTCAGGAACAGGAAAGTGGTAGATGAATTGGGAGGCTTGGGGTCTTGGTGCCCTACCTGCAAAGGTGCCAGGGAGGCCACTCTGTCACATGCATTCTTCTTCCTAGCACTGCAGGTTCAGGCCACATGTGTGAGAGATGCTTCTGGTTTAGGCTGGACTACTCTTTGAACCTTTATTCTAGGCTATATCACTCTAGGGTCCTCTGGCTCAGATTAGACCATTCTGAGGTCTTCCAGGTTAGTTAGACTTCTTTGAAGTCAGTTTGGGATTGGCCTTCTTCAGGTCTTCCAAATACCTGGGCTCTCAGACTCCACAGAGAGCTGTGCCTACAGTGAAAGTTGAATGAGTCAATTTAGACTAGATCACTTTTAATCTTAAAAAAAAAGATTTTATTTTTATTATATGTATGTGTGTCTGTGTGAATGTATTTGAGTGTCCTCAGAGGTCAGGGGGCATCAGATCCCGTGGAACTGGAGCCACAAGCAGTTATGACCCATGACCACATGGGTGCTGGGAATTGAATTTGGGTCCTCTGGAAGAGCACCAAGTGCTCTTAACCACTGAGCCCTGTCTCTAGCTCCAGATTACATCACTTTTTTGTTTCTTTGATTTTTGTTGATGTTGTTTTTGTTTGAGACAGGGTCTTCCTGTAGCCCTAACTGGCTTGGATCTTGCTATGTAGACCAGGCTGGCTTCAATCTCAGGTCCGCCTGCCTCCCGAGTGTTTGGAGTAAAGGTATGTGCCACCATGCCTGGTTGAGATTACCTCACTTTAAAACATGAACCACAGAAACAGATTTTATTTTGATTATGTGTGCATGTGTGCTAGTGTGTGTGTGCTAGTGTGTGTGTGTGTGTGTGTGTGTGTGTGTGTGTGTGCGCACGCCCACGCCTGGCCAGAGGACAACCTCAGGTATCCTTTTTCAGAAGCCCTTTACTTTTTGTTCCCCCTGAGACAGTGTCCCTCATTGGCCTGGAATTCACCAATTAGGCTAGGCTGGGTGGCCAGTGAACCCCAGAAATCTGCCTGGGTCTGCCTCTCCAGTAGTGGGATTACAAACTCAACCTGTTTTTTAAATATTTTTACTGTGAGTTCTGGAGATTGAACTCAGGTCATTGTGCTTGCAAAGCTGAACTACCTCCCAAGTCCATATCCTGGTTAAAAAAAAAAAAATCAGGGGCTGGAAAGATGACTTAGTGGTTAAGAGCACTGGCTGCTCTTTCAGAGGACCTGGGTTTAGTTCCCAGCACCCATATGGTAGATAACAACCATTTTTAACTGTAGTTCCAGGGCATCTGATGTCCTCTTCTGGCCTTTGTGGGCATTGCACAACAAAGATGCACTTACATACATGCAGGCAAAACACTCACATATAAAATAAAATAAAATAAAATTAAATCTTTGTCATAGTTTGACAATAAAATATTGTCATAGCTAACTTCAGCTGTTAACTTGACACAGTCCTAGAGTCACTTGGAAAGAGAGAATCTCAGTTGAGGAATTGTTTCCATCAGATTGGCATTGTGGGCATGTCTGTGGGCCAATTTCTTAAGTGCTAATTGATTAGGAGTGCCCAACCCACTGTGGGCAGTGCCATCCCTTAGGCAAGTGGGCCTGGGCTGTGTAAGAAAGGTTGTTGAACGTAAGCCTGGAAGCAAGCCAGTAAGCACCATACCTCTGTGGTGTCTGCTTCAGTTCCTGCCTCCAGGTTCCTCCCTTGAGTTTCCCAAGGGACGGACAGAAACCTGTAAGATGAAATAACCCTTTTCCTCTCCAAGTTGTTTTTGGTCATGGTATCCATCACAGCAGCAGAAAGCAAACTAGAGCAGTCATTTGCCAAGTTTCATTCCTTTCTGCTTTTGAGCTGTATTATTTCCTCTTACTTTCAATTTTCACATATCACCACTTTCCTTACATATTTTACTCATGCCCCAAACTTACTAGATACACATCTCAGTACCAGAACAATAAAAATACTGAAAACTGAAGGAAGAAGCAAAAGGAATTTCTTTACTCAAGGGGGTTAATGTCAGAGGTGGAAATGTCCCTTCAGAACACACAAGAGATATGAGCTCCTGGTGTATGTGTGTATGTGTAGGGTAGAGGAGAAGAGAAGGATCTGTCACAGGTGTCCTACCTATCTTTAGTTTCAGAGAATGATCCCTTAGTGTAGTGAGCTTTTCCCAATATCCACCTTTGTCAAGGGCCTTTCTTTCCAAGTGCTACTTTGACAGCATCTGGGACCAGTACCCAGTCCCCTCCACAAAACAGGTGTCCTCTGTACCTGGAAGACGCTGGCTGGGAAGCAGCCCTAGCCCTCTTGTCATTGCTGCAGTCTCAGGAGAGAACTCTGGCACCAGCAACAACCACAGGCAGGCAGCACTTGGGACAGTCCATCTCAGGTGCTATACCATTTATTGCTCTTGGCTCTGTGCCCAAAGTTTAGGCGATATATTTGTTGGTTCCCTTGAAGCATGCTTGCATCTTTACAAATAATCCTGTACTCTCTGAATTTCTAGCCCAATGGATTCTTATTTATAGCCCCAGAACTCAACACGGTGCCTGGTACCAAATGTGGGTTGAGCATTGTCAGCGATGATTTTGCAGAAAAGACTATTCTGTCTTCTATAAACAGTGCTGAGTCTTTCCCACAGAGTTGATCCTCTTCCTGCTATTTGGCAAAATGCTTTGTTTCAGCCCAAGTCTGAAGGACATTTTTTGCATTGTTCTACTGGCCCCAAGTCAGCATCTATCACGTTCTTTCCCACAGTGCTCTTCATTGAGAGCTCAATCCACAAAACCTCTTTCCACTTGGCTTCCAACCAGTTTCCCCTGTTGTCCTCTGTCCCTACCAATGTGGTCATGGGCTAGAAAATCAATAAAGCTCTTAATCACAGACAATGTGCAGCAGCAACAGCAGCTGGCTGGTGGCAGCAACAGGGCTCTGGCCCTAACTCACAGATCCCAGTATGCTAGGATGTGTCCTCCCAGAGAAGAAGGACAAGATGGAAGCCCTGGGGTAGAGCTCACATGGAGGAATGACCTGTTTTTTAAAAGTATTTATTTTAATTAATCAATTAACTAATGTATTTATTGCAGTGCTGGAGCTTTGAGTATTCCAGATGAACACTCTACCACTGAGCCAACCTCTAGCCCCTTACTGGTGGATTCTAGACAAATTTCTGTGTACACCCTTAGCCCCTCACTGGCGGATTTTAAACATGACTCTAGCACTGTGCCACACCTCCAGCCACTCACTGGTGGATTCTAGGGGAGTGCTCTACTGCTGAACCACGCCCAAGGAATGGCTTTTAAAATCTACTCTGGTTTAGCTTCCACTGTCTCCACCAATGCCGCCTATCTCTCCATACTCAGTGTGGGAAACACAAGTTTCTCTTCCACTGCAACAAGCAATCAAAATACTGGGCTAATTTGATTCATTTTCCCACCCATATCTTTCCCCAGAGAACTCACAAGAGCTACTTACAAGACTGATATCACTTTTACAGTAAATATATTTTTACAAGCTTTCTGTATTTCCTACATCTAGGGGAAAAAAGCTTGTCAGTTCGCAGCTGTGCCTGCTGAGCACATCAGGGAAACGGCAAATGTGGGTTCACTTGCCTTGACTGTTAGTGAAGAACTACTTTTCCTGCCCTGAAGGGTCAAGGCTAGAAGACCCAAGCGATCTTCCAGGTCTTTGTGTCCCTAGAGTCAGGAACCTCCAGGAACTCTTCGCTTTTTTGTGAGAAAGACAGGGTCTCATTATTTACCCCTGACTGGCCTGGATCTCAATGTGTGTTGGCCACATGTGTGCTGACCTTGAACTGTCAGTGATCTACCTGCCTTTGCCTCCTGTGTGCTGGGATTATAGGTGTTACCACCATACCTGACCTAGTAAAGAAACACCTTTTTCTCTCTTTTTTGTTATTTATTTTGAGATAAAGTCTCATTTAGCCCATTTTGGCCTCAAACTACTGATCCTTCTGCCTTTACCTCCTGAGTGCTGGGACTGCTGGCATGTACCACCACATCGGGTTTATGAAGTGCTGGAGATGGAACCCAAGGTCTTGTGCATGCTAGGCAAGTACTCTCTCCCAACTGGGTTACATCCCCAGCCCAGGAATTCCTAATAATTATTAAGTCTTGTTTGGCACTGCATATTCCCTAACAAGATTGTTTCTGACCAACCAACTAGTTTGAATTTTCTCCTTGTATGCTTTGGTTCAGCTAAGAACTAGCAATTGGGTGATTAAGTACTTTGGGCTTCTGTCTTTCCATCTGTACGGGGGGAGATTGGGTTACACCAACTCTCAGCTCAAACCTACTCTGTGCAACTTTTCTGGGGGTTGTGGGGGGTGATTGAGGTGGTGGTGGTTTGAGCTAAGCATGGAATCAAAGGCTAGAACCATGAGCGGTAAAGGAAAGGGATGAAGACAGGGTGACTGACAAACTGAGTGTTCACCTCCTGTGTCATCTTGTCCTAGTGGTACTGAGACTGGAGGGCCAGGAGATGTGGACTTTTAAAAGAACCTGAATCACACTAAGCCAGTGCCTGATGGTGTTAGTGACAATTGTAGAAGCTGGGGGAGGGGCAGGGAGAGGAGTGCTGGGAGGAAGGGGTCAGGGAGGAGACTGACTGAAAGGGAGGATGGTAGCAAGCTGAGTCTGGGCACTGTGA